CAGCCAAATCGGGTCACCCCACCCTCACATCAGAGTCGAAATCTGGGTGCATCTCATTTAACTCGTGTCCAAGCTCTGTCCTTATCAAGACGACAAAAGGCTCGCATCTGGTCATGTTCACCAGACCTTGACGGAGCCCGCCTTGTTCAGCGACAGGTCAACCTTGACAGTCTTGCTGCCACGGCCCTCCTTACCAGCACCGGTGCGGCACGAGGCGCCGAGGACCTTGACCTTGACAATCTTGACGTCGACCTCGTAGCCGAAGGTGCCGTCGAGGGAGAGCACGCCGTTCTCAAAGGTGAAGTCGATGAGGGTGTGGCCCTGCTGGACGAGCGACACGCCGTCGTCGAGGTACAGCTCGCCGCTGGCCTTGCCGTCGACGTCGAGGGTGACGAGCAGCTCAAAGTCGTTCTGGCGCAGCGCCGTCGTCGTGTTGGCCGAGGCGACGCGCAGCGGCAGGATCTTGCCGGAGCGGATGAGCAGCGGAATGTCGGTGACGTCCTGGTCCTCAAAGGTGTGCAGGGCGCCCTTGCCACGGATGGGACGGTGGGTGTACCAGTCGTAGAAGGTGTCCTTGGGCAGGTAGACGTCGACGCTCGTGGCATCCTGCTCGGTGACGGGGGCGACGAGGACGGCGTCGCCGTAGAAGAACTGGTGCTGCAGGGCCCAGGTGGCGCGGTCTTCGGGGTAGATGAAGTACATGGGGTTCAGCGTCGGGCTGCCGTCGACGGTGGCCTTGTAGATGGCCGTGTAGATGTAGTCGAGCAGGCGGTAGCGGATGTCGATGGCCTTGCGGGCCGACTCGGCGACGGCGGGCCAGCGGTAGAACTCCTGCGAGATGGATTCGATGCCGTTGGGGTTGCGGTAGAAGGTGAAGAAGCACCCGAGCGAGTCCAACGCGCGCAGAGCTGCTCGGTGGCATCGCCGCCGAAGCCGCACACGTCCGAGCCGGCCATGGGGAACTGGTACAGCGCCGAGAAGGTCATGGTCGTGTAGATGGCGAACCGGTAGTGGTCCCACTGCGAAAGGTTGTCACCGAGCCAGTGGCCCACGGCCTTGCCGTCGCCGGGGAACGTGCTGCGCGTGATGATGAAGGGCCGCAGGCCCTCGCGGCGCGCCATCATGGCGTCGCGCGACGCCTTGCCCATCATGGCGCCATAGAGGTTGTGCGTGTCGTACATGACGAGACCGTTCTGGTGCGCAATGTCCGTCTTGACCGTCTTGAACGAGAGGCCGCCGCGGTCCGCGTTCCACGACACGTCGGGCCCCGCCGCGTCGTTGTGGATCGCGTACTTGGGGTACAGGAGGTCGCGGTCGGGGAGACCCTTGCGGTCGCCCGAGCCGGTCTGGCGGACGTCGAGCGAAGACGTCTCGGCGCCGGCGGCACGGGGGCGGGCGGGGTGAGCCTCGATCTGGCGGCGCTCGGCGTTGCCGTCGCAGGCACCGGGGAGCTGGAACTCACAGCCAAAGCCGGGCAGGGCGCGGGGGTTCTCGCGGACGGCGGGGGGCTCGGGCGGGTAGCCGACGGCGTCGCCAAAGGGGTCATCGCAGAGACCGTTGCAGAAGTTGGCGGGCTCGTTCATGTCGATCCACAGACCGTCAATGTCGACACCCGTGTCCTTGTCGAAGAAGATGTCAAACTCGTTGTTCCAGTACTTGGTGATGTTCTCGGCAAACCAATCGGGGAAGATGGTGACGCCGGGCCAGACGACGCCGAGGTACTCGGAGCCGTTGGGGTGCTGCAGCCAAATGTCGTCCTGGCGACCGCGGTTGACAATGTCCGACTCCTCGTAGGCGACGGCCGGGTCAACCATGACAATGTAGTGCTGGTCGTGCTCGTGGAGGTAGTCGACGATCTGGCGGACCTTCTCGACGGGGTAGCGGCGGGGGTCGAGGGTGAAGCCTTGCGGGCGTCCATGTAGTCAATGTCGGTCCACATGGTCTCGAGGGGAATGCCGGCCTGGCTGTAGTTGTAGACGACCTCGGCGACGTCAAAGGCGTCGCGATAGCCGTAGCGGCACTGGTGGAAGCCGAGACCCCAGTAGGGCTGGAGCGAGGGCAGACCGACAATGTCCGAGTACTGCTTGACGACGTCGACGGGCGAGGGGCCGGAGAGGAACCAGAAGTCGAGCACGCCACCGAGCGTGTTGTACTCGAGGTACTGGCCGGCGTCGTCCTTGTTGACCATGACGTCCATGCCGTTCGAGTTGAGGAGGAAGACGCCGTGGGTGCCCGTCTCGCGCTGCTCGATGTAGAAGGGGTGGCTGCCGTACAGGTTGCTGCCGTACGGAACACCATAGCTGTCACGGTTCCACAGCGTGCGGATGTAGTTGGTCGTGTTGAGGCGGAAGGGGTCGGTGTGCTCGCCGAGGCCGTAGAGGTAAGGGTCCTCGGGCAGGCTCGTCCTCAGGCGGAGGTACTGCGACTCGAAGACGATGGAGGCGGCCGAGGTGTCGAAGAGAACCTCCTCCGTATCGGCCCTCTTGATGGTGAAGGCAAAGGGTTCCTCGGTGTAGTCAAACTTGATCTTGGCGTCACCGGAGAAAGAGCCTTCGTCGGGCCGGGGGAAGACAGACTCGGGGACCTGGTAAACCTGGTCCGCCGGATCCTGGATCTTCACGTGGATACGGGACTCTGGTCACGAAGTCAGCCATGGTCATGTGAAGTGAAAGAGCATGATCAAACGCACCGCTCTCGTAGGTGACCGACAGAGTAAGCTCCTCGAGGTCGGTGCCGTACGTGTTGCAGGCCGGGCCAGCAAGCTTCAGCTCGGCAGTCAGACCGTTGCCGGTCGTCTTGACGTTCGAGGCAGCATAGCCGGGACAATCGGCAAGCTTATCGTAGTCTGGGGAGTCCCTCTTGAGCACGGCCGCCGCGGCCACACCGGGAACGAGCAGGGTCTTCCAGTAATGCATCTTGAAGTGACTGGTCGGGGTTGCAGCATGAATTCAGATCGCGGGGGAAGCCACTTCAATTTATACAGCACCCTCTTGGCCCGACCCAGCTGTCTGGGCACCGCATTCCGAGCAATGTGTGCTGCCTTGCCTGCCTACCAATGTAGAGGGATCTGCAAGAGATTCAGGATGAGAGCGGCCGAGCCGGGGGCTTGGCTAGCTAGCGAGGCAAGGTAGGGCAAGGTACGGGTTAGGGGAGGATCCCACGATGCAGCGCGCGATGCAACGCGCCGAACGTCTGCAACCCATCGCCAGTGTGGTACATGGGCAAAAGGTCCGGCCTAGTAGAGGGCACGGCGAACCAGGCCAAGGTAGCAACCACGACGTCATGCACGAGCAGCACGTTGCCAGCCATCTCCATCCTGGATCCCCTTGTCCCCTCCCCGCCTTCCCCTCTCACCTCCCATGGGGGACGTCTCCGAGGCCTTTCAAGCCTCGCGGGTGGCTTCGACTTGCACCCCAAGCTTCATATGAAAACGCCCAGCCCCGTAGTAGAAGCGAGATACGGCCGGTATTTCAGCGAGCGGCGGAAAGGGGGGGCAAGGAGAGCTTCCCCAGATTAGGAAGTTCAGGGCCGCTGTCATGGCCGGCGGGCGCGGGGAGGGGGCGAAAGATCTGCCAGACCTCCCCATCGTCAGAGGCACCTGTGGGCAGCCAGAATGCGGAGTCTAACGCGGCCAAGGGCGGAACTCATGGTCGAGACGGCGGAGTAAAATGCGGAGGCGGGCCAGATCCTGGAAAGGGCCGAACGAGGGGGGGATGGAAGTCCAGCCAGACCGGCACGCCAATGCACCTCATCCTTGAACCAGGGGACCCCCTCCCCTTCCCTGGCATCGATGTAGTGACGATGACTGCATCGCCCTGTTTACCCACTGCAAATGCCCGAGCTCCGAGCGACGCCTCTACGCGTTCTGGGCCGTGCCGTTGGAGCCTCAACGGCCTTGCATGGGGCGTTTGCTGCCCATTGCCTGTTGTGCTTGAGCGGTTATGTTGCCATGCACCTAGTTCGGCCCTTCCATGTGGGCGCGCGATTCCTGCCGATCGTCCGCTTGCATGAGCTGACCAGTCAGAGAGGTACGTAGGTAGGTTGCGAGCCCTTGAGGCCTTGAAGCCGCGTTGTGCAGTCCGGGTTAGTCTTGTGCTGTACGTCCATGCCGCCCCCGAGTAGAAGAAGTGAGGTAATAGGTCAATTGAGCGTCGTGTGCACCTCTTGGCCTCCTGGAAAATGACATTAAGTGAAAAAGGGGGCTGTCGTAGTGCAAGAGGAGACAATGACAATGACACACCACAAGCTGATCCTGTCCACATTACATTCACCCATTCAATTGCAGTTGGACTGTGTCAATCGGGTGGCGTGATCTTGCAGCCAACGGTGCGCCTCTCACGAGATGGGCTTGCTGCAATTTTAAAGTCGGGTATTTTCTGTGAACCGACTGGCCCAATGCCGGACGGGAGCTACCTGTTTAGCTCCTGAGGCATTGAAACCTCCGGCTCGCAGCACTCGCCAATCATGTGTCAAGTGACGCGGACGGATTTACTATGTATAGGACAGAACTAAGTAGCCGAACAGCCTCCCAAGGCCGACTTTGCATTGATATTTCCAGATTTACTAGTGAAGACAGGCAATGACTGCGTTGCGGGGTACTGAGATGGAGCCTCGATTTTGAGAGAGGAAATTAACAATCCATTGGAGGTGGTTTCAAGGTTCTTTTGCTCAACAAAACACCCGTGATTCATGACGCAGGTCACATGAATGACCGTGCAGGAGAGTACGACAAAGTCTTGAGACAACAAGCAAGGCCTCCTACTCACCATCTCGCACTGGCGCTCGGCTATAGTTCACAATGCCGCTTAAGATCTTGTGAGATGGGCTATGTACAGTGTTAGAGCCTGTGGATGAGCAGAGTGAAGGGGTCTTCCGCAGGTGATATCCGCAGTGTGAAATGAGCCCCAGAAACTCATGACCAAATACCTAGATAAATTGTGATCACTAGTTTGTAGTACATGTACATTTCTCCCTCTGTCATTCTTCACTCGGTACAAAAACCATCCCTGAGTGCCATTCGAGTTCCACGAGTCATCTAAGCTGATGCAAAGAGCGAAGCTGGTCGTAAAGGAATGGTGCGAAGATTCTCGAATGGCCTGCCCTGGTATGTATAGGCATGTCTCTGTCTATACCGTTGGATCTCCCCAAGACCTACTGTTGCAGAGGCCCGGTTTTGACTCGGACGAAGCGCCGGAGGGAGAACTGAGGAACGAACCTGCTTCATGGTTCGCCTTTGTGCATCGAGTTGAGTCAAACGCATTGTGGGTCCAGTGACTTGGAGGGGAAAATCAAAGTCTTTGAGAAGGTCAGCATGTACATGGACGAGCGCACAACTCAGGAATAGCTTACTGAAGTCCAAGCTGCGCCTAACACAGCCATGGTGGAGCAAGCGCGCTCTTTGGTTGCCGTCAATGACGTACAGTATCCCGGACTGCCGAGTTCCCAGAGGGCTAGACCTGCTCTCGAAAGCATCAACGGTTCCTCCGAATACCAAGCCCTCCCAAGCCCTCCCGGACTCTCCTACTTCGGAACCATCCGCTAACACCGAGTTGTAAAGCTCTGGCAAGAACGTGATAGTCGGTGGCGTGCTTGGTGTGATGTACCCAACAAGGAACCCAATGAACAGATGAAGCATCTCGTGGGCAACAGTGACTCCCATCAAGAACATAAAAGTTTCAAAAGCCTCCATTTCCGGCTGGCTACGCGTTTGCGTGGCATTGTTCCCGGCATGGACCATATTCTCAATAATCTGTCACACGGTCTCGTGAGTAAGCGCGACAATGGCCAGCCCCCTCTTTAGGGGGACACTCAAGTTTGGTTGAAAAGACTTACGATCTTGTTGAGCCGAAGTACGCCGGCGAGACTAGGGTCCCACTGCCTCATACGTGACCCGTCCCGGGCCCAGTTGGCTCGCTGAACTTGACCTTCGCCACCAATATGGTTGGTCATGACAACCGTCGGGAAGCTTGAGCGTAGACGAGCCAAGAACAAGCCAACCCACCATCCCATGTTCTCGGGCCTATCCTCGTAGATGTTATCAAACTGGCGATGACCTCTCAATACTGCGCGACCAATGTCAATGAGCCTAGCAGTTCCAAGTGGTGTTTCGAGCATGCTGAGTCCCAAATTGATCGCCGCAGCTACTGCTCGGAATGTTGGAGTCTCAGGGGTAACGCCTGACTGAGGAGGCGGTGTCACGTCGGTTCTGTCCGATTCGTTGAAAAGACGTAGGCCGCCGACCAGTCTTTCGGCTCTAGTACTGGGAGCTGAGCCCGGGGCCTGGGAGTGACGTGAAGAACGAGAGCTGTCTACTGGTCAGTCCAATACAAAGACGTGTTGGGCATGCAACTCGGTAGCGAGAAACACAGGCACATAAAAACCCACGAAAGAGACATGGTGCTGAATAAATCACCACGAGCTGACTGTAAAGAAAAGTGGCGTCGACACAGCTAAAGCGTCTACTGAAATACTCCTCTGATGAGATAACACGAGTCGGAACGAACACGGGTTCTTGAGCCCAACTTCTCTGAACAGAGAGCTTGAAAACAGAGCAGGGTATGGTAGGTAAAGCGTGGTCGGGACCATTGCAAGCAGCACTCGATACAAAAGACGAGGGGTATCAGAGACCTTATATTCGGTTCGAAGATGTTGGCGTCCCCTGTCGATGTGTCGCCATCATAAGCGCCTGGCGCCGTAATGTGGAAAATTGGCGAAGTTGGATCGGAGCATGGGGTCACCAGAGCGTTTCACGATGGTGGCCAACGACCATGGCCATCAACTCTAGCACATTCAATTACCACAACTACCAGTAGGAGTCCACGGAGTTCATGTGTAAGTTCTTGGTTGCATTTGGGCAACCGTTCGGATCCTATGAGCTGAAACTGTCGCACTGCGATGTCGTGGTTATCACATTTGCCTCCAAGACATGTTGGCCCATATAAGCAACCTGGAGAGAACTCAGCCTCTGATCTGCTCACCAACCGACCGCCTTGCGCCAATGAACAAACTTATTTTCAGCAATTCATGGTACCGGTCGCTCAGCTGGATGGGTCTGGCCCTGACATTGACCTGTTGGCCGCCATGTCACTGCTCCAAGCGGCTGTAGTGTTGTGTCGCACATAATTGGCTGCTTTTCGAAGAGCGGTACTCCACCCGGCGCTTACGGCTTCGACGGTCCAACATCAGAACAATTGCTTCCCCCGCTCCCCTCGACGTCCAAGGCAAGCGAAACTAGTTTGTTTATCGATTCTCCCACTTCACCAGAAAATTTCGTACGTCCTCATTTGCTTCCAACGGCATGCCTCCAAAGAATCATGCATCCATCACGGGGCTAGCCGCTGAGCATCTTGATGCCCTGTCTCGAGCTCTAAGCAACGTCTTGGCTACCGACGTTGCGTTGGTGACCTTCGCCCAAATCATAGACGGGCTGCCTACCTGCGACATAGCGTGGGATACACGGGGAACCAAGTTGACGCCGCAACACCCTATCAATTCCCACATTGACCTCTGCCCGGGAGTTTTGGACAAGGTTGAGAAGTACCGAGACGAGTTTGACTTTCAAGCTCTTGTCTTCGACCCTGAGGTGAATGACGCACCAGCTTTCTCGACATTGAGGATAACTAACATACGGCAGTTGCTCCGATCTTTTCAGTCTTTTTCACCCTCAGACCGCAGCTTTGGCCTTCGGCTCCTTGAACTCACGGCCTCGGCGATTCATCAGATCGCCGTCCTCTTGTTCCAGCTCAACCTACGCTTACATGATCGCACAACCACGGACAATCTTGACATAGATGAGGTCACATCATGGGAGCGTCCACCTGATATGTGGGCCCGCGTAGTCCCTCATCCCACATTGTTCACGCAGTCGCACTTCGTTGCCCACGAGCAGTATCCAGACGGCATCGCAGACATGGTAGGATACTGGGCCGAGGACCGAATCCTTGGAGGCGTCATCCTTTTCGACCACTCCTCGTCGTGGCATGAGCAAAACATGGAGCCGAATGCTTATATTCATTGTGGGAGAGACAAGATCACATATCGGATCTGCCAACTCCTCGACGATCAGCAAAGCCGGCTGATCGAATTCCTTCGTTCGAGGGAAAAGCATACAGAGGACAGAAAGGAAAGGACCAACGGACCACTTCCGATTCTACCCTCTTCCGATAACAGAACGCGGATCGATCAAGGCGACGCAATTCCGGTCCACAAAGTGTACAGAGATATTTGGAGAGGGCACCGCCCCAGAAGCCGCGGCTGCGAATGCGAGAGTACATGGACCGCCGCGTTAAACGAGCTGGACTATCCCGACTAACTTGACGAGCAAATG